TTGGTATGCTTTCTTGATGTTCAATTCTTCTTGTATATAAACCTCTTTATTATAGTGTCTAGGAATTTGGTTCCCTAATCTACCCAGACTAACACAACCAGCTAGCTCATTTCTGGGCCGAGCTCCTTCCCCTGGACAGTAGCACATTTGTGGAACATAAACACATTTGAATGTCAGACTAAATACAACACGGACAGAAGGTACGTCTGCTATACCTGAGAGTCAAACGAGGGGTTTGGGGATTATCCACCTGATTAACTAGTGCACCACCAGGGACCACAAGGCAGCTGAACAAGTGGAGTGAAAAGCAACAGAGGGGCCAGAGAGTTCACTCCATGTCTGCCATCCTGCTGGAGATGAAAACTCGGCCCCTAGTTCTTCATCTGGTGAACGTCTGATTCTGGAAGCCTGGGCTTCGCTGGGTGACCTTTGTAGGAACTGCTGCCTACAGAATAAGGCTGAGCCCTTAGACTTCCGGACATGCCCAGGGGTTCCGAAGCCTGGCCCCCATTGGTCAGCATTTGTCACGTGTCTCACCACCAGCAAACATGGTGGGACATACATTCTTTTGCCCAGGGAGGTCCAAGCAAGCCTGGCAACTCTGCAGAGAAAATGTCAGAGGAGGGCCACAGAGGCCAATGGACCCAGCCCGGCATCGATTCTTCTTACTCGAGACTGGATCTCCTTCTCCTGTTTCGGGCTCACCAGAGCAGGACCATTTACTAAGGATTTCTATAAGAGCAGAGCAAGTGAAAGAGGGAGGTGAAGGAAGTCCTGGGTCTGCATTAAGCAAAGAAAAGGGATCAAATCAGGGTGGAATGCAGGAAGGAACTGGAAACAGATTGAAGAATGAATTTGTTCTCACACCATACCAACGATTAACTCAGATGAGTTACAGACCGAAACGGAGGAGCTACAAGTATAAAACTCTTAGAAGAAGACATAGATAATTTTCAGGCCCTAGGTTTAGGCAAAGCCTTCTTCGAAAGGGCCCTAAAAGCATAATCGACAAAAGAAAAACTAGGCAAATGAGGAAGACCCCCAATGAGCAGGGCTGACAGTGGCAGCAAGAACGGGCTCCGACTGTGAGGGTGGTGCAGCAACGGTCACGGGCTCGGAGTCAGAGCTGAGTCAACTACACACGACAACAGCAAATAGGACTACACCAAATTAAAAATATATATCTATTTTGGGCTTCTGAAGATACCATCAAGAAAGTGAGATACAATTGATGTATACATTGTTATAAGCACTGTAAGATAATGATTTATAGAAAATGATTTATAAAAAAGAATAAAATGATTTATAGAAAAGAAAATATAGCTCACATGAAAAAAGAAAAGAAGAAGAAGGAAGTGAGAAATACCCCAGAATGGGAAAAAATACCTAAAAAGCATTTATCTGACAAGGCACTTCTGTCTAGAATATACAAAGAACTCTTAAGATTGAGTAATATTACGGTAGATAATCCAATTAAAAGTTGGCAGAGGATCTGAATAGACACTTTCCTCTGGAAAATATACCAAATACCAATGAGCATATCAAAGGCCTTCCCAACACCACCAGTTACCAGTGAAATGCAAACCAAAATTACAGTGAGACAGCCCTTCCTAACTACTTTGCCAGCTGCCAAGTCCACTCCAAGTCATGGCTACAATAAGAAAGGGCAATACCAAGTGCTGGTGAGGATGTGGCGAAATTGGAACCTATACCTTGCTGGTGGAAATGTAAAAATGGTATGGCTTGTTTTGCTAAACAGCCTGGCAGCCTCTCAGCTGGTTAAAATAAGAGTTACCACTGGCCCTACAGTGGCAGTGTAGCAAGCCTGATCTGTCCTCTCAGTCTCCACTCTCCCCTCGAAGGGTGTCGCTCCCTAACTCCAGAGCCTCTGCACTGTCGCCTCCCTCACGAATTCTCCCCTAAGGTGGCGAGCCTTGACTTCTTTCCTAGTTTCCTACACACCCTTCTATCAAGTCCATTGGCAGTATCTGTTGTGCACAAGAGGCGTGCTTGTAACAACATTAAACGCAAACACCTCTTTTTCCACCTAGAAGTCACAGAACAAGCAGCTGACCTTTGCTGTCGGTCAAGCTATATGCACAGAGCCTTCACCATTAGTCATCCACGCCGAGGCCGAAGGAGCCCTGGCAGGGTAGATGGTGAAGTACTTGGCTGTTTACCAAAAGGTTGTCCATTCAAACCCCACCAGCAAGCAGTGCACTGGGACAAAAGCCCTGGTGATCCACTTCAGTAAAGATGACAGCCAAGGAAAAGAGATGAGGGAGTTCCCTTCTGCAACATGCAGGGTCGCCATGAGCTGAAAGCGGCTGCACGGCACCTAACAAGGCCTAATGACCACGGGGGTGAGGAACTTCACATAAATAGAAAGGAGCGACCGGACACAGACATTTCAAAGTTGCGCCTTTTAAAAAGTAGAGAGATGTGAAGGGAGACGTTGGACAGGGCAAGATATGACAAAATACACAATTTATAAATTATCAAGGGCTCATGAGGGAGGGGGGAGGGGGACAGAGGGGGAAAAATGAGGACCTGATGCCGGGGTCTTAAGTGGAGAGCAAATGTTTTGAGAATGACGAGGGCAATGAATGTACAAATGTGCTTTACACAAATGATGTATGGATGGATTGTGGTAAGTCGTATGAGCCCCTAATAAAACGATTAAAAAAATAAAAAGTGGGGAGATGAAGGCAGGCAGCCCCTGCCCCCAAGAAGGGTAGCAACCCACCAAGAACAGTGTGGTAGTGAGCCCTGAATAGTTGTAGGACCTTACACTCTTCCTCTGGGGTGAGTCTTCACTGCCCAGTGTAGATACTGCAGCACTAGATCTTACAGCAAGCCACACTGAAGCAAACTCGGACCGACTGACCTCCACGTTCAGCCTGCCATGGGCCGCATTGCTCTGTGTATCTCCCCTGAGGCTCAGGCTCCGGGTACACATGGGCTGGAGGCATGGGCCTGGTCTACAGTCAGCGTCTTCCCAGTGACTGGGGAAGGCCTCAGTCAGGAAGGGAAGACAAGAGGAGAAATCCTAGATTCTTATCACCTGCCATGCAGCAACTGCCAGCTGATGCCCACATCTGGGCAGACCAAGTGTCTGCTGATCAGAAGGGCAAGAATCCACCCCCCCCACACACACACACTTTCTGGGGGGGGGGGCGGGGTGCATGCCCAGGCTTAATACAAACTAGAATATGCATTCCAGTTCTCGAGTAAGACCCTCATTCCCACCTGTCCTGGGAAGCTGGCTGCGAAAGGTAGGACAGGGAATTCTGGGTCAGAGAAAACGAGAGTGGGCACTCAATACCACTGCCACGAGGCAGCCTCGTGGTGCTGGCCAACGAGCTGCATCTTCAGTTATGATCACAGACAGACTGTTCCTTGACCGGGGCCTCCGCTGCCTCGTGTGTCACAGAAGGGGCCCCCAGTCACTGGCACTTGCTGTACACCTCCTTATTCGCTGGCCAGTCAGCTCCCTACATAGGTAGGATGCGTTCCAGTCAGAAGAGGGCTGTAGACCAAAATCCAGGATGGACTTCTAGGCAGGGATACAGAATTCAAATTGTGATGACCCAGTTTTCCTTCTGAAATTGTCTGAGGAACCCTAGACCGCAGGAAGCTGGAGCAGCAAGGGTCCAAAGTAAGACCCCTAGGCCTGGGGGATTCCCCACCCCGCCAAGGCCTCACTAACCCCAGTGCTGATGCTGCAAAGAGCAACCTGCTCATCATCAGAAACCAACGCCCCTCCCATGTGCTTTTCTATACTCTGGAAACCGCCAAAGACTCACCTTTAAAAGCTAAGTCATAGAACTTGCTGGTCCCGAGGAACCTTGTCATCACTTGGTCTTGTGGACAAGTTCAAGAGCTCAGACAAGTTAGAGGAGGCGAAAATCCACACAGAAAACTCAAACCACCCAATGCCACTAGCTTCACCTCCCTCCCTCCCTTCAAATCTCTTAGGTGATGAAGTTGTCTTGGGTCCTTTCACTCCCTCCACACACCCTTTGACCACGAAATGGTTACAAGGCAAAGCTTTGGCAAGTGATTGGGAAATAGAGAAGAAAGCCCTGAGAAACAGCCCCTCAAGTCCGAGAGCTCAAACACAGCGCTGGAATTCCAACTTCCTGGCGGGGGCCCTTGGGTGATCCTAAAGCTTCCCAAGGCGGCAGGGCACTTCTCACAGGGCCCACTCGCCACCCGCCAGCAATCTCTTCAGGACCACACAGTCGTGAGCTCCGCCAATGACAAGTCCAGGCCCTTGACAGGCACTCCGGCGGAAGACACATTCTTGCTACTATCAATAGTCTGTATAACCAGCCTTCTCTCAAAGGGCTACATTCTCTCTTCTCGCTAAGCCAGGGAGACCCTAGGAAGGCGTCTGCGGCTGGGAGGAGCGATCGAGGAAGGCTGCACTTGTCCAATGGACACGTACAACTGTCTTGTTCAAAAGGAGATCCCGGCGGAGTATCCACAGGCAGGGGTGAGGAGGCCCCGTGGGTGGGAAACTATGCTGCCACGCCAACCATCCGACAAGAAAGACAGGCTGATTCAGGCGGGCCACTGCCAGTCGCCCCGTCCACCGGGCAGGGAGCTGGCGGCGACTACAAGGCGCGGGGTGCAAACGGGAGCGGGGGAGCGGGGATGGGATGTGCGGGATCCCCGGCTCCCGGGCCTTCCCCCTGCCTCCAGGGGCAGCCCTAAGAAGCGAGGGTAGGAGGCGCAGGAAGCTAGGGGGACCGCAGGGCGGGGGAGGCGGCGACGGCGCCCCACGGAGGCAGCAGGCCTCGAGTGGAGCGCGGGGAGCGCACGCCCGGCCGGGACGGCGTGCAAGGGTGGGGTGGGCGTGCAAGTGGCTTGGCGAGGAGTGGCAGGCGTCGCGGGCCCGGCCCGGGGGGCGAGGGTCCGAGCTTGCAGGGGGCGTGGGATCGCGAGGGGCCGCCCTGGGCGGAGGGGGTCCGCGCGCGCGCGGGGGAGCTGGTTACCGTGTGGTTCACCCCCCACATCAGGACGCTCAGGATCGGCTCGCTGGCTCGGAATAGCTTCACTTTCTGGCACACGAAATGCTTCTTCTTGGTCTTGGTCTTGCTGGCG